CTCGGCTCGGGCCAGGCTGACAGGATTCTCCTCCTGCAGGGCTCCTTCATGACGGCGACGACGACGGCGACGGCGGCGACGATGACGGCGGCGACGGCGGCGACGATGACGACGACGAGACGACGACGACGACGACGACGACGACGACGACGACGACGACGACGACAGCGACGACGACGACGACGGCAAGGACGCCGAGAGGAGGCTGAGCGAGGAGCGAGGCTAGAGGATCAAGGCTCTTGAACGGCTTTTGCCATCCTGTGGCCCCCAGAAGCCTTTGGGAACCCTCGGGGGCCTCCGGGGCTTTCGAAGGCCTCACGATTCCTTGGGAGCCCTGCGTGTGCGCGCCAACAATCTCTACACCTGCACCGATCCTCGCAAGGCCCCCCCTGCAGCACCGATCCTGGCAAGGCCCGCCCTGGGCCGAGGATCGGTGCTGCTAAAAGCTGGGATCCTCCGACGGAGGAGGACGGGGAGCTTGAGAGAGCAGCAGAAGATTGGCAGACGCAGTTCTCCGTCGCCCCTGCTCCGATTCAGGCTTCTCCTCCGCATTCTCAAACGCCTCCTCTAGTCGCGAGATGATGCCGACGGAATCAGCGAGGAGAAGACGAGGAAGAACGCGGGGCGTGTCCTCGGGTCCATTGCCCAATCCCCTAAGCCTCAGTCCTCCCTCCTGAAGAATCTTTAAAGGGGCCTGGAATCCAAGTTGCCAAATCTCCCTGGGCTTGGCGCGGATCCCCTGGGCTCACCCGCGTCTTGTCGCATGACTTTTCCGGGCCCAAGAGACGGTCCATAAGGGCCCCGATTCGCCGAACGATCGCTCCAAGGCGCTCAGAACGGCCACTGAGGCCTAAAAACGCCCCAACAGGCCTCCAAGAGGCCTCGGAAGAGGGCCCCAAAAGGCCAACATCAGTAATTTCGCGTAGGTGTTTGAAAGTTTTTGGCGTTCTCGCTTCTTCGGCTTCCCGACAAACCCAGACGGCCCTAGAGAACCCCAAGATCGCCCCAAGACAGCCATAGAGGCCTTCAAGAGGGCCCCAAAACATCCCAAGGGAGCCCAAAAATAGCCCAAGAGGACCCTAAAACAACCTGAAAGGCCCAAATGACGGCCCCAAGAAGGGTCCCAAATGGGGGACCCGAACGGACAGTTCGAGACCTTGGCCCCGAGGGGCCCCCAGAAGGCCCCCAGGAGGCCCCAAGAGGCCCCCAAGACTCTCCAACGAGGCTTCATCACAAGAGGCCCCAAAACTGCTCCCAAGAGGCCCCCGAGAGCGCTCCGAAGAGACCCCAAGAAGCATCCCTGAGAACTCTGACCCACAACCCACGCACAGTGACGAGATGGGCCGAAGGCCACCAGATCCGCCGCCCCCATGTTGGCTTGCCACAAGGGTGCCAGGCGTGCTGAACCCTGTACGGTTTGGTTTGGGTTCTTTTCCAGAAGAACTCCCCCTGGGGTGTCGGCACACCGCCACCCGAAAGCCCGCCGAAAAAGTACACTCTGTCGATGTGTTCTTCTCCAAGATGACCCCATGACGGCCCGAGAAGTCCCAACCCAAGACGGCCCCAAGAGGGCCTCCAAGTTCGCCCAAGGTGGTCCCAGATGGCCTCCAAGACCGCCCAAGAGGGTCCAAGATGGCCTCCAAGAGGGTCTAGAGGGTTCAAGATGCCCCAAGTTCGCCCAAGAAGCCTCCAAAACTGCCCAAGAGGCCCCCAAGAGGCCCCCAAAAGGCTTCCAAGACGGTCCAAGAAGCCTCCAAGAGGACCTCCAGGAGGGCCCGAAAGAAACCAAAATCATTGATTTCTCCTTCGGTTTCTAAAGGATTTTGGTATACATGCTTCTCTTCGGTCTTCCAACAGCCCCTCGTCGGCCCAAGATGCGCCCGAGGGAGCTCAAAGATGTCCCCACAGGCCTCCAAGATGAGCTCATGGCGGCCCAAGAAACCTCCAAGACGGCCCCAAGAGGGCCTTCACGACGGCGAAGATGACCCAAGATGGCCTCCAAGACAGGCCAAGGTGGCCCAAGGTGGGTCCCAAGAAGGCCAAAGAGAGTCCAAGATGCCTTGAAGCCCGCCCAAGAAGCCCCCCAAACGGCCTAAGACGGCCCAAGAGGCCCCCACGAAGTCTCCAAGACCGCCCGAGAGGCCTCCAACAAGTTCTAAGGCTGTTGGCAAGCGTCTTGCCGGCCCGACGGCACTAGATGACCCAAGCGCTCTCCAAGATCGCCCCATGATGGCCCCCAAAGGCCTCCAAGATGAGCCCATGACGGCCCAAGAACCCTCCGAGACGGCCCCAAAAGGGCCTCCAAGTTCGCCCGAGATGGTCCAAGATGGCCTCCAAGACCGCCCCAGAGGGTGAGGATTCAAGATGCATCCAAGTTCGCCCAAGAAGCCTCCAAGACTGCCGAAGACGGCCCAAGAGGCCCCCAAGAGGCCCTCAGGAAGCTCCCAGGAGGCCCCACGAGTGCCCCAAGAGATCCGCAAGAGGCCTCATCCTCCCTCCCCACTTTTCCTTCCTATCGTTTTCCGCCTCATGCTCCTCTAAACGTTCCCTAAACGATGTTCATTGCGGCTCGAGAAACACCTGGACCGATGACTGATCCAAGCTCTGGCCCAAACGTTTGGCCGCAGAGATGCTATTCAAAAAGGCAAGGAAGCCTCCAAGAACGGCAAGCGAGACCAGATCGAATTCTTATATGTGTTCATCCTCGCCCACGTGTTCCCCGGAAGCCTTCCAAACCAACTGGGGGAACACATGGTCCGATAGCTTAGCCGAGCTCTAAATAGACTTCCGACCACATAGGCGCTTCCAAAAAAGGCAGGGGACGGCGGTGAGTCGCCTCACGCGTCTTCGAAAAGAAGGACACAAGCACTGAGGCGTCGCTGACAAACCCGTCGCCTCTCGAAAACATACCTGCGAGAACCTCCCGCAAGCGGCGCCCAATCGAAACGGCGAGGCAGACACGTTTCGCCTCGTACACGCAGTCCCTTTCGCCCTGCCTGTGCGGGCGGAAAGAGGACAGGCAGGCAGACGGAGGAGCGACTTCGAAAACCCATCTTTTGAGGACAGGCACATAATTTACTTCCGCCGCCTTCCGCCGAGTTTCCGCCGCCTTCTGCCGGCTTCTGCCAGCGGAGGCGGCCTCTTTCTGCTTGCGCCGACCTTCCGCCGCCCTTACACCGGCTTCCGCCGAGGAAGAGGTGGCAACTCCTTCGATCTTCGAAGACAAGTCCCTTTCTGGAAAGCCCCAAATAGGTGGATAGGCACATGGCAGCCCTGGCCATTGCGCTCCCGAAACAGAAACCAGGCCAAGGGTGGAGACGACCGAGGCACAACCGATGCCAAAAATGACCCACCTGAAGCACCCGCGTGCTCTCTCCTGCGGGGGTGGCGAGCAAGACCCCTCGTGACCGCACGGGAAGGACGATACCGTGAGGACGTCCCTCCTCGAAGCCGCCGAGCGGTGGACAACAACCACGGCGACCATGCACAACAACCTCCGAGGGTGAATGGTGACAACGTCTCGCACAGTCCACCTCGTGCGAACCCCTGCGGTCCGATGCTGCTGGCAGGTGACGCCGGAAGAAGGAGTGCGCTGGATTGCCATAGACTGCGACCTCATGCTGGAAACTCTGGCGCAAGCGAAACCTCCACCGGTTCTACCCTGACGAGCTGGGCCTCAGAGCTAAGCGCAAACCGCTGCGGCGTCACCGCAGCATGATAGAAGCACCCTGGGCATGCCGCGCGCCGCCGCGTGTGGACAATACAGCCCTGAGGCTACCATGAGGAAGGCAGAAGAAGGAGGAGGAGGGAGAAGGAAGAGGAGAGAGAAGGAGGGAGGAGGAGGAGGAGGAGGAGGAGGAGGAGGAGGAGGAGGAGGAGGAGGAGGAGGAGGAGGGAGGAGGAGGAGGAGGAGGAGGAGAAGGAGGAGGAGGAGTGCGGAGGAGGATGAGGGAAGAAGGAGGAGGAGGAGGAGGAGGAGGAGGAGGAGGGAGGAGGGAAGGAGGAGGAGGAGGAGGAGGGAGGAGAGGAGGAGGAGGAGGAGGAGGAGGAGGAGGAGGAGGGGAGGAGGAGGAGAAAGAAGAAGGGCGGAGGAGGAGGAGGAGGAGGGCGGAGAGGGAGGGAGGGAGGGAGGGAGGGAGGGAGGAGGGAGAAGGAGGAGGAGGGAGGAGGAGGGAGGGAGGGAGGGAGGGAGGGAGGGAGGGAGGGAGGGAGGGAGGGAGGGAGGAGGGAGGGAGGGGAGGGAGGAGGAGGAGGAGGGAGGAGGAGGAGGAGGAGGAGGAGGAGGAGGAGGAGGAGGAGGAGGAGGAGGAGGAGGAGGGGGGAGGAGGAGAAGGAGGAGAGGAGGAGGAGGAGGAGGAGGAGGAGGAGGAGGAGGAGGGGGAGGGGAGGGGAGGGGAGGGGAGGGGAGGGGAGAGGAGGGGAGGGAGGGGAGGGCAGGGGAGGGCAGGGGAGGGCAGGGGAGGGCAGGGAGGGAGGGAGGGAGGGAGGGAGGGAGGGAGGGAGGAGGAGGAGGAGGAGGAGGAGGAGGAGGGCGGAGGAGGACACGGCGCCGCGGGCTCTCCTGGCCGCGGCGGGCCTCGGCCACGAGCAGGTACCCCCCACGGCGCGAGAATCCTCCGAGGAGCGGCCCGCAGCCCCGAGCCCCTCGACATCTGCCCCTGCGGCGGTGCTCGCGTGCGGCCCCCCACCCGGTACAGAGCTCCACCGAAGGCCTGAGTGGCGGCGTTCGCATGCGTCGCCCCCACCCGGTGCAGCGCTCCGTGGCCCCACAGGGAGCTCCACCGAAGGCCTCGGTGGCGGCGTTCGCACGCGTCGCCCCCACTCAGTACAGCGCTTCGTGGCCCCACAGGGAGCTCCACCGAAGGCCTCAGAAGCTGGACTCGCATGCGGTTTCCCCACTCAGTACAGCGCTTCGTGGCCCCACAGGGGGCTCCACCGAAAGCTTCAATGGCGGTTTTCGCATGCGCTGCCCCCACCCAGTAGAGCGCTTCGTGGCCCAA